TTTTTTTTTTTTTTTTGCTGATTGGAAGCGATCTTTCTGCACCGAATGTTTTTCCTTGCCTAAAAAAGCTTACACGAGCAGTATTAGAGCCTAGGTATAACTGATGAAAAAGCAACGTTAAGCGTGGTTCTCATTGTTTAGGATATAATGACACTGTTCAACAATTGCTACACGTTCAATCCACCCGAATTTCCGATTTATTCGATGGCTAAGGGTCTCGAACAGTTTATGCTGAACAGACTCGCTTCAATGCCCGCTGAAGTAAGCTAACAGCTTGGTGTTGTTTATTTTGTTTATCATTTCAGGATTTTGAAGCTATTTTCTACAATTGTTATACATTCAATGAAAATGAAGACGACGTTTCATTGATGTGCAAAAATATAGAGAATCTATATCGCGAAAAAATCAAGTTGATGCCTCCTCAGGTAGTTCGACGCCGGTTCCCGTAATAAGGATATGCTCTGTTTACGGCATTCGATTATTTTTCTGAGAGTTATTACATGAGTTGCTTGTATGGGGCACTATAAAGTTGGCTTGTTCTTAGTTTTGATGGATATACATATTTTACTTAAAGCGTCATTTCCATTATTCCGAAGCTGAGTATCTACTTTTCAGGAGGTTGAGATTTCGAGGCCAGTTCCCAAGCGGGGCGGGAAGGTTCCACGCGGACGAGGTGCCGGAAGGACTAGCTCAACTGCTAAAGGAGGTACTGACAGTTCATAGCGAACATTCAAATATTTGGTCACGCTTTGTAGTTTTACCGGTTGCAAGTGCCTTGTTCATTGTTACCTCTGGGTGCCGATGAATACGGGCGTTTTGTTTATAATTTTTTTCTAGTGAACGCTTAGATTTAGTTACATGAAACCGTGTTGCTGGGAGTATGCCGCTGTAGTTTTCTATAACATTTTGCGTTGTTATCTTACGTGCAGCTCACTTTTCAGATAGTAATTGATTTTTTTTTTTTTGTTGTAGCAAGCCGAGAGTCATCCGTTTCTATTCAAACAGGTATTGCTGATAGTTCTTCAGTAGTGGATTCGGCGAATGACACTCCTCCCGTATTAACAGCCTCTGGCACAATAGACGATGTCCATCCCTCTCCATCTGTTTCTAATCCTCCTGTCCCGATTCATCCTGCTCTGCCTTCCAAGGTTCTAGATTAATTTTGTGGCTGTGCTATGTTCTATTTTTTAATGAAGTGTGAGCAGTCGGGGCTAGTTCTTTTAGTTTTCTTTTTCAAATATGTGTGGGTATTTCTTTTATTTCGCGTAGCGATATTTTCAATTACAGAAGGGTGTCAAAAGAAAAGCAGATACTACTACATCTTTTGGCGAAGAGGCTGGCGGGAAAGTATCTACTCGTCGTGAGTCAGGTCGCCCGCCAAAGAAGCCAAAGTACTATATAGATTATGCTCAGCTTAAACCTCGATTTAAAGGGAAATGGACTGAGCAAATGAAATACTGTCAGCGTTTGATCAATGAGTTGTTTACAAAGGTAGTAGCTGGTTTGTCTGTGTAGTTTTCCTTTTTGTGAACATGTTTTGATGAAGAGTTTTTAGAAGTGCAAGGCGTTTGCTTGGCCGTTCCTTGAGCCTGTTGATGTAGAAGGGCTGAATTTGACAGACTATTATGACATTGTTAAGGAACCAATGGATATAGGAACCATAAGGTTTGTAGGTCTCATCAGCCTGAAATTGGGACCGGTGAATTTTTTATGATAGAGATGCTCACTAGATTTTTCAGAAAAAAAATGGACAATAAGCAATACGCAAACCCAGAGGAATTGAAACGGGACTTCTTGCTGGTGTGTGATAACTGCTTTAAGTATAATCCTCCATCGGACCCTGTGCATCTACAGGGCAAAACCCTTCAGGTTGTTTTTTTTTTTTTTTCATGTCCTTGATTTTTTAGTTTAATTGGTTTAACATCAATATTTGCTTGGTCAGCGTGACTCGAATTCGTTGTTTCCTTCTTTCTTAATTTTAAAACTTTTTTTTTTTTTTTTTTTTTTTTTTTCGTTTTTTTTTTTTTTTTTTTTTTTTTTTTTTTTTTTTTCAAATTTTTTTTTTTTTTTTTTTTTTTTTTTTTTTTTTTTTACAAAAATCATTTTCAGAAATTTATTGAAGACAAATGGAAACAGATGCCTGAAGAACCAGCGCCTCTGGAGATTGAAGTGGCTGCTTCTGGTTCTGGAGCAGTTCCCAGTTCTGGATTAGGTACATCAACTGGACCACTAACCGCTTCTAATTCATCGACAGTTAAAGAGGAGCCAATAACTGCAACTGTTGCTGCAGTCCCCTTAGATGTTTGTAGCGGATTTGTTGACAACGATGATCACATTGACCTTCTTCTTTTGGCATTGCAGACGGAAATGACTAAGTATCAGGAGAAGATTGCAGAATTGCAGCGTCATGTAACCGAAATATTTAATTTGAAGTTCGTGTTCAGTTTTATCAAGTTGTGATAGTTTCAAGTTTTCAGGTAATTTTACTTTTTTAAGGATGAAAAGACGAGAAGCTAAGCAGACTCAGCAGCCGGTACCAGTGCTTTCTGCAGCGACGGTAAATACATTGCAGTCAATCGTATCGACGTCTCTATCTTTTGTTAATTCTGGAGCTGGTGCCTCCGTACTTTTGCCTCCCTCAAGAATTTCTCCTGGCCCAACGCGCATTTCGCCCGTGATACCTTCAGCTACTGCAAAAAAGAAGCCTGGTCGGCCAGCTAGGAATTACCAGCCAACTGCTCCTATATCACCAGTCGCGCAGCAGCGAGTAGCAGTTGCTCCCGCACCTGAACCCCAATCGATAATGGAGGTTTGTAACAGTCGTTTCTCGCTTTATCACTAGTTCAAAGGTTTTTGGTTTGTACAAGAGAAAGGCAAGCGCTGTAGTGTTTTAAGAAAACTTGCTCTGCTTCTGTTAATTGATTATTTTTTATTAATCTAAATTTCGATCTCTTGGTTTGGCCTGCACTCTGAGACATTTTTTATTAGTCTCATGCTCGCACTTGTCTCTCCCTCTTCTCTCCACCTCCCCCTCCCCTCCTCCATTTAAAAGCCTTTCGAGTAACACTAAAGCGATTTATAGTTTCAGGTAAAACCTATTGTTAGTAACCAGATGACTTCTAAAAATGTTCCGTATCAGCGTACAATTGAAACTCCGGCAACGAGTACGTCAAGTAGGAGTTTACCACCGCAAAGTATGCAAATGCAAAATTTGTCAGTGCAGAAGGCCGCTTCAGTAGATACCCCTCAGCCCATAAGGAAGCGAGGTAATTGGTTAAATATTTTCGTATCCTCAGTCTCAGTGCAGTAGTAATTACGGGTTTTGAAGGAAGGCAGCCGGGTTCCAAAAATAAGCCTAAACCAGACACGTCACAACAAGTGGCTGTTCCTCCCGCTCCTGCTGTGCAACATCCTTTGCCGTCATCGAAACGCAGCAAGGAGGATTATGAGTTTGATTCTAGCGATGAACATAGCGCTGAACCAATGAGTTACGATGAGAAAAGGCAGTTGTCTCTCGACATCAATAAGTTACCAGGAGATAAGCTTAGCAGTGTAAGACTTTCATTCTTTATCATCTCCAGTTTTTTTCCAATTAATTTTATTTTTTTGTTTTTCTTCTACTCGAATAATTTTTTTAATATTAATTTTACTGACTATAGGTTGTGAGTATAATCGAGTCTCGCGAAGCGCTCCGTGACTTTAACCCGGAGGAGATCGAAATTGATTTTGAAACATTGAAACCTACGACTTTACGTGAATTAGAAGCATTTGTGGCATCTTGTTTGAAGAAGAAGCCGAGGAAGCCGTATAGTAAGTATTTTTTCAGTAGATTGTTTCATTTCGCAGTAGCAAACATTTTTGCTGTATCGGAAATGGTAGTCACTGATAGCCTTTGATGGCACTTACAGATCCAAAATCTCAGAAAGATGTGGATATTAAGAAACATGAGTTAGAGGAAAGGATAAAGAGTTTGGGCGGCGTTGTTGCTCCTTCCCCTC